GATACATTAACTTATTGGACATTGATAGCAAAAACAAAGTTATGAAAAGCATTTCTGTGAAGCAACAATGACAAACTGACATGTCTCATTAATTCATTGTTACAGATATGTACATGTCACCTGATGTGAGGCCTCAAAAATCCCCCACCTACATGGCTAAAGGCACCTGTGTCAGTTTTACATCTCTTATTAGAGCCAACACTAAAAGTTACCCTAGGTTGACTGCTCTTTGGCTTGTGGAGTAATTTACATTTTTTACATACATATCGCTTCGGCACCTGATCAAAGTCACTAATTCCAGCACATCTAGTGTGCTGCCACACATGGCAAGAGTCACAAGACAGCATCCTTTCTCCATCATCATCCTTAGCTCCACACAAGCAGTCAACTGTCCATTTGTCCACACCTCTCTCCATTCGGTAAATTGCAACCCGACGTTCACCCCCAGCACATCTTCCTTGAACACGAACTGTCCCATTAGCTCCAAATAAGAGCTTGACTTGAGTAGATTCACTTGCACTCCCACAGTCTAGAAGCTGGTTAGCTACAAATGTTTGTAACATCAGATATATGTCACGGAAAGTTCTTGCAGCCTCCACCTTCAGATCAGCTACGGTTGCTGTTTGTGAAAGCGTTAACAGCTCTGGTGGGATACAAGGTGGATCTCCTACTTGGTCTAGCAGCTCTACTTGGCACCAGATGTGCAACAAAGATGGGTTTGGAGGCAAGAAATCCTCTTCCAGGTCATAATGCTTTTTGAATTGCTTGCAGTCCAAAAGGATCATTGCACATCTTTTGGCATGGCTATACATATTCTCCGGCTTGTAAGGATGCATTGTGTGTGGGTACAGGAGCACATCAAACAAAAACTTGATATCACGAACAAGATGATCCCAGGTTGGCAGGCATGTACACTGCATAGGGATGGTTTCATCCGTAAGCCTGCAGGGGGCAGTCAAGTTAGAACTTTGATTTATAACAAGCACAGGGGGAAGTAATATTAGAACTTTGATTTTATAACAAGAACAATTTTTTATTACTAAGCATAACCAAATGTCTGAAATCACCAACCTGTATTCTATTGTATTTGTCTCACTGTTGCATCTGACTGCAATAACCACTCCATCAGTTGACCTCGAACCAAGGGTCTTGAGGCAGTAATCAACCAGCAGGGGTGAACCAATTGAACGGGATATGGCTGCCTTTAGAGTTCGCAGAGCCACCCACCTTGTCGTACCAACAGCACGAAGAACTTTCAGAGCAGTATCCATTGCTCGTTTTATTTCATCATCAGACCATGTCTCTTGTAGTACATGGGCATATGAATGTTCCTTTTTATGAACTGACCCGAAGTGGTTATGTACACTCTTGCTGTTTGCAAGCTCCAGCACATAGAGGAACAGTTCACGAATTGTTGTCAGGGGACGCTTTGAAAGGGATTGATAGAATGCGATGGTATCTTGTAGCTTGGTTCTAGGAGATCTGGAATGCTGGAAGAAATGCGATAATGGAACCGAGGAGATGCTGTCTACAGCTTTGCAGCATTCTTCCTGTGTGATGCCAAAGCTCCCTCTGCTGAGTTTGAATCCCCACTGGCTGTACCATGAACAACCGTTGGCAACGGCATGTAGGACACGGTAGTCAGTTCCATACTTTTTAGAGACATCCATCAGCGAGACCTTTCTGCAGTTATTAACACCAATACGTTAGTGCCTCTGCCTATCTAATTATAAACACAAATTAAATGACAAACTAGCCCCCCATAATTCATACGCTACAAAGCATTGTGCTATAAGCACAAGGTAAGGTTGAGTGTTGCTATATGTCCAATGCTAGTTAGATGCGTTGCGTCCTGGAAATGTGCTCGACCTCCAAGAATTTTGATTGACATATACATGCGGTTTCAAAAAGATATTCACAAGTCGTGTTATTTCGACAGTTAACTTCAGCATCCATTCCCCAAACTACTGCCTGAGCCACCTTTTTGTTGGTTCAATTTAATGAGACTACTGCTAGTTTAAGGCGGCAGCCATGAAAGGACAAGCTTTTTTGTCTCATTATGGGCGGACAGGTACACATCACCAAAGTCCGTTATATTAATAATATTCTAGTGACATACTCCCTCTGTCCCAGAATACTTGGCATTCTGACTCTGAACCAGATTCATTGAACATTCTCTGAACCTGGACAACCTGTCTGTCTAGGTTCATTGAACATTCTATGAATCTGGACATCAGAAAACACTCCTAGAATGCCAAGTAAAGTGGGACGGAGGGAGTATTAGTTAGTGCTGCTTAAGCAGACAGAATACAATGGTAAGTATTAACTTGTGCCAACATGCCCATCTGTTCCTGTGCTATTTATCTCATATAATTCATAATTAACCGGTTATTAGAGCATAATTTTAAATCCGTTCCATTCATGCTACTATTTCAGATTGTGCAAGTTCATATAGTTGGCCGTATCACTTTTACTTGTAGAATAATAAAAAAGCAAAATACCAAATTGTCCTTACCTGACCCTAAGGTATATGCAGAGCCGATCCCAGAAGTCCATGATTTCAAATCCAGTTAATAGACTGGAGCCACCCTCTCGGCCATTGATGCGGACAAGGTGACCAAACCCATTTTCATGAACAATGGCATGCAGCAAATGCCGGGGATTATCCAACTGCATGTAGTCCCAATCTTCGGGATCATCATAAGAGAACCCATGCTTGCACGATGGGCACCTGATAGTACATGATGGAGTCATATTAAACCACTGATACCGAAAGAAATTACTCTGTTTTTTTCTTGCCCCTAATAAGAAGGGTGCATACTACTTGAATAATTCGTTGTATGTTGAAACACTTAAGGCCTCGTTCGGAACAAAGGAATTCCATAGGGATCATATAGGAATTTCACAGAACAAACACATAATTCAGGAACTTTTCCTCCATTCCAAAGGAAGCCTCAATGATTTATGACGTTACTTTGACTTTTGAGTGTCATGAATACATTTTTGTCATGATTTTGTAGCTTAAGTACTATACTGCAATGCTAATTGAACTTGGAACAGATTAACTCACCCTGTTTCAAACAACTGGACCATAAGCCCGCAGTGCCGGCAGGTTTTGAAGTCCTGCAGACCATACTCATTCCGGATAATGAAGTGGTACCGCTTCCCACAAACAGGGTGCCTGCTCCAGCCTATGAGAAAATACAAAGGCAACGACGTTGAGACTCTTCAGCTCGGTTGATTATTCAAGTTAATAAATTTTGTTTCGCTCCAATTCATCAATGTGATTCGCCAGAACTGTATTAATTTCGGGTTAATCAGGATAGCTAGGCTTCTATGGTTTACTACAGAGAATGGAGAAGCTGAACAGAGAGGTTGGAACCATGGAAGCAAGCTTCCCCTGTTTTCACATCCTAAGACTTTGCTAACGTAGTAGCAGTGATACCCCATTAATCCTCAATAACACAAGTTCACGCCAAGTTTGTCTCTCCAATTCAGATGAAAAAGGATCAACTGAAAACAACTTGAAGTCAACCAGAACAACTAAGCTTTAATGGCTATATATATAAAAAGAAGGCAGTTTGGCCTATCTGTGAACACAAGCAAGGCCTCCCCTGTTTTTGCATCCCAAAAGTTTCGTAACCGAGTGGCAGTGAGACCGAGGAAACTAATCTTAATCTTGAATCCATCACTACCACTATAGTCTAAAATAGGAAAGTTTTTCCCGTCGGAAAGAGACCGACCCGGCCCCGCCGGACCGGATCGTGCCGGCACACTCATCAACGACTCACCGGCGACGGTGCAGTGCTCGCAGTAGACCCGGGCTGCGCCGGCCCGGGCCACGTCCTCCTCGACGACCTCCATGGCCACGGTCGCCGTCTTCCCGCCCTCCTCCCCGACGCGGAGCCCCACCCGCCATGCGCCGTCAGCCGGCACCGCGCACCGCGCCAGGAAGGCCCGCACGCGGTCGCGGAACGCCGCGCCTCCGCCGCCGCCCGCCGCCAGCCCGTCCCCGCCGGCCGGGAACGCCCGCATGTCCAGCGGCCGCGGCTCCGCCGTCACCCGCGCCCGCTTCGGCGGCCGCCCGGTCACCGCCATCGCCGCCGGGATCCGGGTGGGTCGGGAGTTACCCGCTGGTGGGCGCGGCGGCGCGCGGGGTCAGATCCGATCTATTTGAAATCTGAACGGGCGCGTGGGAATTGGAAGGGCGCGGGGGCGTTTTGGATTTGGATTTGATTTTTCGCGTTTTGGGTGGGGAGATCGCGCGGGAGTGGCGGGGCGGCGAAAGTTTTTCGCGGTTTGGATCTGGGCGGAGGAATCGGAGCGGGAGGAGTATTTATAGGCCTCGAGTTTGGGGTCGGTTTGGGATGGTTGATTACGAGTTTGCCCCTGCGGGGCTGCTTTGCCTCCAAGAGTCGTACGCGGACACGTCAGCCGGCGGTTGTGGGAAAACGGGATCAGGACGAGGGTTATGGATGGAAGTTTTTCCTGAGAATGTTCGAGGCGCGCGTGGGCGGGCGTGTGGAGGCGTGGGGCCGCGAATGCCGGCTTGGATCATTGGTGGATAAGGATGGGCCGTTGCGTAGTGTTCGTTGCAATGGGCCGTGATAATAGACAGGTTGCCGCATAATTGTTCCCAACTCCAACTGGGCCTATGAATGGAAATCGCCGAATCGAGCATGGAATTTTCGAATTTCCTATACATTGGGCCTGTTGGAGGTGTTGTATATAGTGCTGGCCAAACAGGCCGTGCTTAGCGGGCCGGCCCGAACACGAAATTTTTGGCCCGGCCCAAGCACGACACGGCCCGTTTAATTTCATGCCGGGCCGGCCCGGTAAAACTTTCCGTGCCGTGCTTGGGCCGAGGGCGTAGCCCGACGGGCGGCACGGGCACGGCCCGTTTAAGCCGCGCCACGCAAAGGCTCGTTAATGGCCCATCAAAGCACGAACCCGAATAGAGAATAGTGTAAATATATTTTGAATTCCAATAGACTCAAGAAGGAAACTTGGTTTGATGGTAAAACACTTCACTCTAGACCATGAAGTCTTGGGTTCAAATCTCAAATCCCCCACTTTTGCATTCATTTTGCTATATATTTACACTAATAAACTAAACGGGCTTACGTGCCTAACGGGCCGGCCCGGCACGGTTATCTAATTTCGGGTCGTGCCGTGGGCCGATGGCTCAGCACGACCGGCACGGCCCGAAAAGAATTTCGTGCCGTGCCGGCCCGAAATTAAATGGGCCAGGCGGCCTGTTTGGACAGCACTAGTTGTATAGGAGGTTCCTGGAACTTTGGGGCCGTCGTTTCTCCCTCCCGCGTGCTTTAATTTCCTATTTTACAGCCCAATCGTTTTCATACTGGATTGGAAATTGCCGCTCGGATGAGCTATATAACTTGTAAACCCACTAAAAATACACAGATTTTGGGCTTAACCGCTGAAAAAAAAATTATTTCCTCACGAGGCCACACTAATACATAAAGCATGGAACACGTGGTTGTAAATAAATAAAATAAATTCACTATAGTAAAGAAGACTAGAAGAGATAGTATGAACCTAAATAAAATGGTAACAGAACACTATGGAGAAAAAGATACAATGGATGGAACAAACGATAAAGATACAATTTGCTCCGTTTCAAATGGATATAGATCCAAGTATCCAAATCTTCTCGTTTTCTTTTAACCTTATACTCTTCATAGGAAAAACAATACTCCCTCCGTTCAACTTTATAAGTCGTTTTGGCTCTGGGCACGGAGATTAAGGAGAAGTAAAAAAGGTGAATGCACAGAAAACAAGGAGAAAAGAGATAGAGATAGAGTTGTATGGGGAAGAGAGAAAGGTGTATCGAAAAGTGAGAACGCCTTGTAATTTAAGAAAACTTGACAAGTCTTAAGTGACTTATAAAGTTGAACGGAGGGAGTATATACTTGCTTCAATAGAAAATTGTTCCGGCTACAAGTCACCTAGAACTAAATGTTCCAATGTTTATTGGAAAGTGTCTCAATTTCACAAAAAGAAAATGACGGAAGCATATTCTTTATTAGTTCAACAATGTGACGGAGAGTTTTGCAAAATCCTAGAACTACGAAATCTCTTCATTTTGTAGAGAAAAAACAATAATAATGTATTAGCTCGCATGCATGTGAAAACCACCTCAAACAACCTCCACTACCAAATCGTGTGAAAATATTAATCAGATGAAAAATTTCTACAACAACAATAACATAGCCTTTTGTCTCAAATAAGTGAAAATTTTCTAACCGTATTTATATTTTATCGGATACAATGTCGGATATTACGGATTATCTATATCCACTTTCCACCATAGACTAATTATTATGTTAGGAAGAATTTTAACAGTTCTCCTTTGCAAATGTTGTGGCAGGAGCAGGTACGGTCAAATAGTCCGCAGGCTCTTTTTTGAGAAAATTCCTTATTTGCCATTGAAAATTTGCACGATTCCTTATTTGCCATGGAAGAAGTTGAAATTCCTTAGTTGCCATCGATCAAAATTTTTATGCCTCCATTGCCACTACTGTCAAGTCTGTTAGCTATTTTCCATTCATAGTTGTGTGGTTATCATTTTAGTGACCAAACTGCCCCTAAGCTGATTTGACCTCTCTCTCCGTCTCTCGTGGCCTCTCTCTCTCCCGTGAACCCTCGACTCCCTCTCCTCAACCGATCGACGCAATTCCTCCCTGAGCTCCAAACCGGCGGCGCGATGGCCCTTCTCCCACTCCTTCTCTACTCCGTTGCACTGCGCTAGGGCGACACGGGGTGGGCTCGCGGGGGCGCGACGCAGGCTCACCTGGGTGCTGCAGGGCGCGGGCTCTCTAGGTCGCGGCGCGGCGCGGGCTCATGGCCCGACGGCTTGTCGGGCTCGAGCGACACGAGCTCGCCAGGCGCGGCAGGGCGTTGTCTTCCCACCTCCTCCCGCGCCTCTTCCCCTCGTCCCCAAATCGTAGCTTCCGGGGAGAGCTCGATTTCGTCGACTCGGAGATGGAAGGTGAGTCCAAGATACGAATGGCAGTAAAGCTCAATTTGATTGTTTATTTTTAGGCCACTGCATATGGGTTGCTTCTAATGCTCTTCCTATCCTTAGGAAGACTCCTCGTATGGACACTAAAGAATTGCAAATCAAGCTGTAGGATGAACAGAATTGCACCATTCATTTTGGCACAGTTTGGAGGGGAAAACAAAAGGCTTTGAAAGAGTTGGATTCGGCTGCTAAGTTGATTGGAGCTTGAGTGAAGACAATGCAGTCATGTTATTGTTTTTTACTGTTGTCTCAATTAAATATGCAGACCCATTTTGTATGACTCGATCAGTGTATGTGACTTGATGTGAACTTGAGCAATCTGTGTAATATTTGGAGTTGTGTGCGGATAATTTTCTGAGCTACATGTCTGCATGAGCAAGCTGTGACAAATTAATTTATTGTTATTTATTTGTCAAAAAAATAATCTAATGTGTGCTGTTGTGTTTTGTTAATTTTTCATTAAAAAATGTGCACTCGTTGGCCTGTAGTGGCATAAAAGGGGAGTAAATTTTTTTGCTACCTGATACTGTCAAGGGTATTTTTGTCTTTTCATATTTCAGTTAACGGTGTTAGAGGAAGAATTGCACTGCAGTGGCAACCAAGGCATCGAAATTTCAATGGATGGCAACTAAGGAAGTTCAACTTCTAGCATGGCAAATAAGGAACCATGTAAATTTTCAATGGCAAATAAGGAATTTTCTCCTCTTTTTTCCCGTGGCTCGTACGGAACAGAGTTGGACGGAGGGAGCATATGCAACAAGACGAATGCCCTTCGCTTTTTCTTCACATTGTTCCTTTTGACAGTGACACTCGCTATATTGCATCTCCCTCCTTTCCATCACTTGAAGACAACACAAAGGCTTCCTCGCAAAAAACAAAAGGGAAAAAAAAAGACAACACAAAGGCTGAACTAGAAACAATTCAAAAGAAAACAACACAGGAGCAAAATAAATAAATGAATTGAAAAGAAAAAACATCTGGAAGTTAAAAAGAAAATCTTGCTAATTCACTAGCTTAGCGAGTATGGTGGGCTATAACAATACATTGCAAAACCGAGACAAACCAAGATTAATGTGACACATATATTACGGCGACGGCATGGAAACATTTTTTATTTTTGCACGAGAAAAATGGAAATGTGGCCAATAAATACTACTCGCAATAACCAAACAGAGAACCGATGTGATTGAAAAAACTGAGGGATGCGCAAGCTTTGGCCACGAGTCATGTTCAGACGAACAAGGGCGCTTCTTTCTTCAACTTCAAATAGCTGTCACACTACGGTTGTCGGCGACAGAGCAGCAACCCACTTATTCAAACACTGCATTTGCAACCAGCACGTGAAAGCCTTGTCCGTTCCCATGTGTCTGTCACTGCAGTATGCCGCTCCTCCGGTAGCAGAGCAGCGCGACGAGGAAGATGGCGGCGCTGGCGCCGACCATGCCGCCGGTGACCTGCCAGAAGAGGGCCATGTTGGCGGTGCGGAAGAGCGGGATGTGAATGTTCATGCCGAACACGCCCGTCACCACGACGGCGCCGGTGATCACCAGCGTGCCCGTGGACAGCGCGATCCCCATCTGCAGCAGCTGGTTCTGCTTGTCGTCCAGCATGATGTTGATGAAGTCCTCCGTGTCGTTCACGTACTCACGCAGCTTCAACGTACCATTCAACAGAGCGTGAGCTCAGCATCAAACGGTAAGTAAGAAACCTCTCTGACTATATTTGGTACGCATGTAACGTACCGTGGCGAGCTTGTTCAGGGTGCCTTCGATCTGCACGAAGTAGGCCTCTAGCAGGTTCTCCAGCTCGTCGATTTTGGGCGTGAAGCCGACGGAGGCCTCGTCGCCGTTGCCACCCTCCGATGACCGCTCGCCTTCTTCGACTCCTTCTTCATCGACCCTGCATCTCAATGCCTCATTTCTACGTCTAGTACTCGATGTATATCTACCACTGAGATTCTGCTGTACTATCTGGGAGTTGAAACCAGCATTCATTAGTACCTCTCGTCGAAGAATTCGCTGGGTTCCTTGTCGGAGTTGAACCTCGACGAGCGGCTAGCTGCTTGGTAAGCAAGCTTCTCCGTTAGGTGCATCGCGGCCATGTCCATGTCGTCGTCGAGCAAGTGTTCTAGCTCGTCCCTGACCTGCCAAATTAAAAGGTAGTACATACTCAAATGTTTGCAGTGGCACCGTCGAACAATGTTGAAAAGTCATCGTATACCTTCTGCGCCCTCCCGGAAATGGCAACCAATCGACTCTTTATTTGCCTCACGCGCTCAAGGTTGAGGGCGCTGACTTTGGAGGTGAGTTCGTCTAAAGCGGGGTATGCCTCTTCCTCCAATGTGGAAGTCTGGCGAGAAAAATTTCGATCAGGAACTGTAGTGTTTTGAATGAAGCTTTACATATATTTATTCTTTGGAGCAATAGAACAGAAACACCTACCTGAACCAAACCGAAACACCTAGAACGAAGTGACAGTTTTTTAACGTGGCTGGAGCATGAACTATATAAGCCTTGGTTTAGTCAGTGTGAGAAATGTTTTTATTTTAACAGAAAAGGCGCCGTGATTTTCAAGTCGATGATCTGTAACAGCAGATGAAGAGAGACGCTTGGACAGTACAGGGCAGCATTAAGCAAGCTAGTCGAACCTCATGTTCCAGGGACTTGCAGGCGAACTGGAGGCACACCTCGAGCGCCCTGAACTCAAAAGGCAGGACCTTGTCGCTGATTATTCCCAACGCTTGCCCGTCGTCCTTGGCCCCTTGATCACCGCCGGGGCTCGACGGCGAGATCTCCTGCGGCGGTGGGGATGAGGTGAGGCGCGCGCGGAGGTCGCGGACGAGCGGCGCGACGGCGGGGTCCCGCGGGCCCGGGACGAGCACCTCGGCTGCGGTGATGACGGCCCGGGCGCGCTCCAGGTTGACGACGACGGCGCGGTCCCGGGCCGTGAGGAGCTGGCTGGACGTGGACGGGTACGACGAGTCGAGCGCGCGGAGGTCGCGCGCCGGCAGCCCCGTGCGCCGCATCA